TTTATGTTAGTATGAAATACTACTGCACTTCAGTTCTTGTACATGCCACATAACTTTAAAACAGAACTTTAGGATATTTAAAACATAATTTTTAAATAGCAATAGCAATCCTTTGGTGTAAAATGCAAGCATTTTTAAATAGATATTCATGAAGAAGATAGAAAGAGTTGGGCTGGGTTTGACCAAGGCCCATCTGGTCAACCAGCTGCCCAGAAGAAACTCACAAGCAGGAGTGCAAAGCCTCCATCTATGCAAGTCAGTAACTGGGGTACATAAATATACTGGCTCTGCCACCAGTTCAGATCATAAACCCAGTCAAAGAAGAATTAATTGGTCCAACACAGCCTGGTGGTTAAAGTGGTAAATGTAGCAAGGATGGATGCAAAGGGCAAGATCTGCAATGTGCACAGGAGGGTGATCATGGCACCTTCTTGACAGAGGTGTCATCTGTACAAGGCCCATCTAGTTTTACTATATTTTCAGAGATCAGGAATCATGCAAGAGAAAACATCCTTAAGTGAAGTGCCAATACTTGATTCAAATTATATATATATATGTATGTATGTATATATATATATATATGTATGTATGTATATGTATGTATATATATATGAAAGTTTATGAATATATAAAATAGAAAATGGAGAAATACAGCATGCCAGTAGACATAATATAATTAGCTTGTTCTGAATACATTTATTACACACAAAACAAAAATAATTCAAAGAAAATACCACAATTAGAACAATAATGTTTGAATGCTTTTCTATTCCAACTGTATCTTACATACACTGATCAGACAGTAGATATACTAATTTCACAAGATTCAAGTTCATTCAAATGTTTGACAATAACATAAACATACATTTGGTTCATAATTCCATAGCTGTTTCACTTTCAAGCACAAAATACAAAAGGTTCGCCACTGGCAATACAGACCACACATACACTCTGGAACCTCTGGAAATGTTGCTTATGTAACTGTTTTAGTATGTTTAGCTGAGGCTTTGTAAATGCAATATTCAAATTTATTTCTATCAAATATTCAAACTAATGAGGGACAAGAGCAGGAGAAATCATAGCAGGAGAGAGAAAATCCTGCAGGAGGCATTTGGAAACTCCTTTACACTCCCGATGATGACATTAGTAGACAAGTGCAGGCATCCATTTGTTCACCTCATAAGTCGCAGGGTTTTCCAAGTATGAAGATGCAAGAAAATATTAGTGGGTGCTCAGAGCACATACATCTTCACACCCCTTGATTTCCTCTGCCCACCAAGATGCCCCAAATTTACATAGGAAAGGAGAAGTTATAAATGCTGGTGGTGCACGTAAGTTCTGGCATATAACAAGATACTGATCATGCCCTTGGTGAAATTAAACGCACTTGATAATACTCCTGCCAAGCAGAGACAGGGTCAAAAAAAGGCACATTTAGATACCTGCTGAGGGCCCTTAGCTCGGCAGGCAGTCATCATTAAAAGCTTCCTGGCATTGCTCCTCCTCTTCAACATTTCAGACTGCTTGTTGAACTGACACTTGCTCAGGTTGCAGGCAGCAGTAGATGCCAGTTCACTGGCTCTCTACTGGTTAAGCAAGCCAAGATGAGAGTAAAGATTAGGAGCGATAGCAGCTGGTAACAATGGCAGTGAGCGAATGAACTTACCAAGACAGGTGCACACTGAGGGTGACTTGCAGCCCGTACTAGGATAAAATCAGTCATGTGATTGTTCATTCCCTTCAAAATTACACACATTGTCTTATAATAACTAGTGATTTTGAAAGCTGCACCTATTAAATCTTTGCCATATCTACAGAAAATAAGACCAACTGAATTCAATAAGAGTTACTTCCAGGAAGTGTGAGTAGGACTGTCGCCTTACTAATTTTATTACATTCCCATTCACAGTACACCATTATAAACTATAGCTCCTAAGATACAAGGGTAGGAAGTGATTGGGGAAGCAGAACCTATTGATTTTCTGTTCAGATTTGCACTAGATGGGGTGTTGAATTCTACCTTGTCTGGATGTGTCAGGAATTCAGTGTGTGTGTGTGTGAGAGAGAGAGAGAGAGAGAGAAATGTGCATAGCAACTGATTAGGGTCCCTGATTTTGTGGAACTTGTCTTTTTGCATTATTATGTAGAACACAATTATAAAAATGAATCTTATTATTTCTATTTCTAAAGTCAAGATTTAGATAGTTTGATATATTATGTTCACTGCAGAATTAAGCATTCACATTTAAATGGAATATATAACTTATAATTCCCATATTTTTGAGAAGATACTGTATATATATTTACAGTGAAACTATGAATTTAATTCTTTTTAAAACTACTAATATCTTAATATAGAATAGAATTAGAATTACAACTGAGTGGACAAAAATGGAAAATCTGCCACATAAAATGTAGGAATATAACATAATTTTATTAAAATTTGTTGGGGTTAAGATGCTTAAAACTGTGCCCGTAATTTTCTGATTCGCATTACACAACCCACAGCAACTCATAATATTCAGTGATAGTCCCAGGAAAATATTATAGTCCTGTGAATTCTCCTCCAGCTTACTTTATAATTCAAGGCAAATTTCTCCCTTCTGCTCTGTGCCTCCCCATATGATTTTCTGGCCATGATATGGAGAATGCAAGCCTTGAATGTGTTTACTGTAGCATTTCAAGTGCTATGAAACCTGCTGTATCAAAGTTCCAGTGGGCAGCAAAGAATGGGAGAGATCTCTAATCAGATATCCTGATAGTACTGCCACTGCCACCATTGTCATCAGGCAATGCATACAAATCTTTTCAACAAGACCTGTAAGAGTTGGAAGAGGATGGGAACTGAAGTGTAACAGAATCTGTTCAGGAGAGCAGTTGGATCCAAATTCTTTGAACATACCAAGGTATTCTCTTACTTTCTTATTTTTATTTAAATAGTTCTGTTTGCAAAGCCCAATTCTGAACTGAGCTGACGGATTGAGAGTATACATCACTAGTTAAAACAAAAACAAAACCTTAACCCCAACATTATTTTCACTGCTTTTGTGGATTTTAAGCACAATTCCATTCAGAGCTTTCCTTGATTTAAAATGTAGAGTATACCAAGTACATTCTGACCCAGTTCAAAATTTCTTCATTATGTTCTGAAAAAATACAAATGCCAAGACAAATTGAAAGAAGTCATTCATAGCAATGAAGAGCTCCACTTGATTTAGCCCTACTCAATAATAAATCATCAGTCACCCTTTCTCTACAACCTTCCCCTGCCATCTTAGAGATGCCTAGACTTCCTGGAGCGGGTGTGATCGTGATGAGAAATTGTTGTTTTGCATACTTGAAATTCAGTGCCGCCTCTGTGTACATATTAAAAGTATGTTCTTGAATTAACATTAAATATGAAAATAGCAGGTTTTTTAAGTATATTTAATACAGCAGCTGAACCAAGTATGAACCCTCACCCACCCGCTCAAAAATCTGTTCATCACAAACTACAATTCACAGATGCAGTACCATAGAATTCTACTGTGGAAACAACAAGACGACGACGAAGAACAAGAGCAGAGAATCACTGTATCCTAAATCTAAAACTGTACTGGGGAGCTTCCCCCCACCCCACTTAAATTATAGATCCTCATAATACCTTTTCAGGAGGCACATACCTAACAGGCTATTGATTTGGATCTGAAGGACACAGTATTTATTACGCAGGAAAACATTGCTGGGAACAAGCAAGAGGAATTAATGATAGCTTTGTAAGTGGCCATGCTGTGGTACTAAACCGGTGGGGCACCTGTCAATCTGTATGATAATATAGCTCCAAACTTCATAAAATCAGTGATGTGGAAACACATTGATTTTCCTGAGCTAAATGTGATTTTTCAAAGAGGAAAAGCAAGATGTTTACCAATATTAATACCTCTGCTTGTATAACTGTAATTGAATTTGTGCCTATATGATTTAAATCAAATGCAAGGCACAAATAAATGATTATTTTCTGAATGTCTTTTTAAAATAAAAAGAGGGCTATCTCTCTTCTTTTCTGGTTTTCTAAATAACATGCTGATATTTATTTTCAAATGCTGACACTTTATTCAGAAGTTGACTTCAGTCCAGTGACTGTCATGTGTAACTAGTGGTTCAAGGCAGATGTTTGCTTACAATCTACTCCTGCACACTGTATTACTGGAGAAACTTTACTGCACTGGAGAAACCAATGGCCAGAACTGAAGCCATTTTCCGTATACTAAACCTCTTAAAACATTGTTACAATGCAGTTTTAAAACAAGTAATATGTCTTCCAATAAAATTTAAAACTTATATTTAGTATATTCAGTAGACCACAGTATTATTTGATCCAGAAATGACTCTTTATAAAGTACAATTATATTACACAAGTATCTCTAGTACAAAAATAACCCAGTCCACAATTTAAACCTTCCCCAATCACAAACTTAAAAGAAATGTTCATAAATCATTATACCATTTTGATTCAATTTAAGCTTAATAGAGAACAGGAATGTTACTTAATACAAGCCAATGCTGCTATCAAACTTCAGTTTATACAGTTGGTATATGGCTGCATTTGATTTTACCTGATAAGGAAATTTGATTTAAAAAAGAAAAAAGAAAAACAAGCCTGAGCTTCTCTAAGCTTCTAGGCACCCACAAAGTATGTTGAGGGGTGGATGTGAGGGGGTGGAAATAATATTTTCAGACTCCCCACAATACCCTACCTATAATTTATGGCAATCCCATAGTTATATTAATTTTTTTTAAATATTTTTAAATCACAACAATATACAATTGTTGTATATTGCCCACAACAATATAATAGCAATCTGCAGATCATCTGTAAATCAGATTATATTAGTTTGATAGCATTTTTATTTCACGTTGAAATTGGGCAAATAAGGTCTTCCTCTTATATCATAAATATCTGATAGCATATATGCACCTATAGATGTACATTAGGAAGTTTACTGGAGAAATATGCCTACCGTTTTCCTCATCTGATTTATTGTCATTGTCAGAGTCAGTCAGGGTGAGGGCAGAATTCTCACGGCTTGACAGACCGGAACTGCGCCTGGATTTAATCCCTCTCCCCCACAGTCGTATGGCATGCTCCGGAGACATTCCTCCCTCTGTATCTGAGTCAGCATCGGACCCAGTGCTGAGGGAATAGCCTTGATGAAGTATTCCCATGTCTGAGCAGTAGCCACTTCGGTGGGGAGAGGGCTCACAAATTCCTAGTTCAGCAAGGGTGAAGTTAGTTCCTAGGAAAATAGGAAGCACAAAGGAGAATTAAAACCTAAGAGTGCTTTTAAATTTAAATGTAAATGTATTTGAAAAGAAAGGAACAGACCTTTTTACCTTCCCATTCATGCAGAACATACTATGTATAGAATTAGGTTGTGCAGATATTGCCAAGACTGTTTAGACAGAACAATGTAGCAAACATGATTGAAAAAGAAGGGTTCCCAGAAATAGCACAAATACCACAGCAAAAGCAGGTGGATACATAACAGGTTAAGATGTCATGCAACACAGTTTTCTTTTGTTGATGTTTTAAAAACTATCAATTCCAAGGAATTATGTAAGAAAATGTTAGCCAATGAGAGTTGATAAAGTGCTTGTGCATATATTACATAACATCCCTTGATTGCAAGATATTAGCAGCTGCAACCTTTATACTAACAGTGGATCAATAGAATGTAGTCGAGATAAGCAAATATCTACCTTAGTAATAGTGAAATGTAATGAAGGAACTGACAACAATCAAGAGGTTAATGTGACCAGGACATGTAGTGTAAAAATCTGATGGTCGGTCCTGATTTTATCTGGCTTACTAATTTGCTATGAAGAATGCATAACTAAAAGGGTGTATTCCAAGTATTTATTGAAGCAGTACTTTGTTAAGACACTGGATTTTCTTATAATATTTATTTGCTATTACATTTGTATGTTTTGCAACCCATAATATGTGTGTATAGTTCTATACCATGTATCTTTAGACATTCAAAATATCAATTGTATACTTAATACAGACATATCATTCTGTTTTGACATGGTTCTAATAAACCGTTTCTGGTTCAACTTGCACCTTAAAATTAATCAGCAACAAGGCTCAAAATTTTCACAGTATTTGTTACTTATCATACTATTATGTATGCAGATATCTGTTTTTCCGTTTAGACATGGCATGTAAAAATTGGATTGCAAATCTTTGGAACGTTCCTTTTCATTAAGTGAGTAGAAAACCAATGTAAAGAAGACTGAAAGAACAGAACTTTTTACTTGGGCAATCAATGTTCAAAATATATTGTGGGAATATAGTTCATGAGAAAAATTAATGTTTTGGTACTATGATTCCAAGACTAGCATCTAAGAAATTACTGTTGCCCATATATGCAATAAGTACTAGCTCACTATACAAACACACACATGCGTGCACATGTGTGCACACGCATGCACACACGTTTACTTTTTATTTAAAAAACTATACAATTTGCTTGCACTCTAGAGGGAAAAGCCATTAGCTGAAGAGAAAGTTAATAGATACTGCAGCAATAGGAAATGAACAGAACACTCATTTCTCAAACAGGTCACATCAATAGGACAGCACCATCTTCATTTAGCTTCAAAAGAGTGATTCTTGTCTTTGGAGCTTAAACTGCACTTCTACTTCATACTTAAGGGCTCGCTCAGGCCATGTTACTTTTAGCTTCATCTGTTTTCTTTCTGGTAAATGAGTGATGAGCTAAACTTACTGCAACAGCCATTTTACAAATGGCCAAGCTCCCAGAAGCCTTCATGTGAGAGCACTCACACCACCATTAAACACCTGATGTGCCAACCATCCTAAAAATGTTGGCAACCTCTGCCATATTTGGTTTTCCTTACTTAAAAGTCACATTTCAGGTCTCAAACAAGATTGGGAATAAATAAATTTTAGAAGTCTTTTTGTGCTCTTCCAAAATCGTATGGAAGGAAAGTGAACCTAAAAAATATCTAATTTAAATCAAATGCACATTGCAAGAGTGCATTTTGCATTATGCAAGAGTTACAATATGCATATGAAGAAGAGCTAATTTGAGGGATCTGCAAAGCATCATAGACAAGTTTCTTCAGAATGAAGACCAAGTGTATTTGAGGATTTTCCATGTATCCTCCAAATTTGCTCTGAAGAGCTCATGGACTCTCCATATTTGATATGGTAATCTGTGAGGCTGCAGGGAAAGTGAATAGTCAGTCATGAGGCATTAGGCATTGCCTTGCATTGAGCTCACAAATCCTATGGAAGTACAGTTATTACTTTTTTGGTCAAGGGAAAGTGGGAGGTGACCTACTGAAAGGAAACACCTAGCCCTTTGCCTCTTCTGTTACCACCCGCAAGTGCCTCTTATCTCCTGCTTTTTTTGGTGTTTTGCTTTGCTCATGGCTTGCCTTGTTGTGCTTGTTTGGTTGTTGTAGCTTGCTACTGAATGTTTGTAACAGGGACTGAGTGTGTTTGGATGGTACTAGAAGCTCATCTGTGACTAAGCCAGCTCTGGGAAGCAGCTCATAAAGACCAGCCCTGCTATTGGCAGTGGGGCCAACTGCAATAAGGTTGACCAAAAGGGGTGATCTGAAAAGGTGCTGCTCCTCTGGGTTGCCACCTTGGAAGAGTGGCCCTCATCAGCTGTAAATAAGAATGCTACCAGGTTTCTGTGTGAAAAAGTACCCAGTGATTGTGGGAATGTGGGATTCCACCCTGTTCCCCAAGTGGGAGTTAGGGGAGAAGAAAAAGAGGAATATAAATTATAATACCTTCCTTTTCCTGGTTGTGGGATTTAATCCCTCATGCTGATCTTATGTATTTAACTGCCCTTGTTGGTTATAAGTGGCCATAATTATTGTATTCTAGTCAATCAGTTCAGACCTATTGGTCAGCTGAATGACTGCCCATGAAATTTTCCTTTTTCTTAATTCCTTCCTTCTATTCCCCCTCTTTTTTTCTTCCATTATTCTTGCTAATTTCTGAAGAAGCAGGTGCTAATAGCCAGAGTGTGTCAGTATGGGACAGAAGATAACTCTATGACAGTTCACATGGGTCAGCAATGTCATCATATGATAGATAGGAAATGCAATCACAGTGGTGAAAGTATCACCACCAGATTGCTGATGGATTGGCTACTGCACTTTCGGGCCTGCTTGTGGTGTTGCTAAATGTCAGACTGGTTTGCAACAAGATCTCAGTTATGCATGATATGATTGTTGATGAGGGACACCTTGGTGAGCTGGATAATATAGACATGACCGAGCTTTGACCACCAGGTTACCTGACCCACCCCCCCACACACACACACAAAGGCTTTTATTGCCTGTACCTTGTGTTGCATTATTGAGAGATGGTGTGTGCTACTGGTATATCACCTGCTCTACTATCCAGTGGACTCTTTGACTGAGCTGGCTGAAGTGTTTTCAGATGTGGTGTTGGAGAACCCTACAACTCTGGCCCCTGGAGACTTGATAATCAATGCTGATGCTTCCCTAATAGGACCAGCTTGGGGCCTCTTTGCCTGGAGCTATTTCAGTTTGTCTCTGGCTCACTCAAAGGGCAGAGAATATCCATGATTTTGCTTTTGCCTCCAGGCATGGGGGAAGTGGTCTGACTGTGGGGGGAGCAGAATTTCCCCTAAGTCAGATCACTTAATGGTGAAATTGGGTCATGTTGTGAGTTCCTTCCTGCAGAGATGGAATCCCATTAAGGCAGTCCACACCAAGAGACTGATTTTTCAGTAGCCAGACCTGGAAATTCTGTCAAGGTCCTCACTGCAATATGAAATGGCCAAGTGTGATGGGCTCTTGAAACCATCACTCCCGAATGCCCTCTTCAGCACTGTGAAGGCTAGAAGTCACCCTGGTTTATTAGGGAGCTCCACACACTGAAAAAGGTCAGAAGATATTTGGAATATAAGTAGAGGGTAAGAGTAATCATGAAAGTGACTGTGCACATGTTAGAGCATATAACTGCATCTGCTATGTGGTGATAAAGAAAGCAACGAAGACTTACTTTTCCTTTTCCACCACATCCTTGATTGGAAGCCATCTGAGTTTTTCCAGCTTGTCTGGCAGCTACTTTCATCTAAGCTAGTGGAGCCCTCAGAGGTCCACTGTATGAGTCTGCAAGATACATTGAGGATAAAATTCCATGCTGACTTCAAAACAGCTATTGGTGTGGTGCCTCTTGAGATGTCCTATTCTGTTTCTGGAGCCTAAGGAGGCTGTCAAGATACTGGCATCTGTACAACCCACCACGTTTTCATCAATCTAACCATGAAGACTAACTGGGTGGATCAGGGGAGTGGTGAATGCATCATTGTGTGATGGTGTGGCCTGTACTGCCCTGAACATTGCTGGAAAAAACCTTCCATAAATGCAAAGATCTATGCCAACTATTGTTGGGTCCCAAATACCCCATTTTGGATAAAGTGTTTCACAGAATGGCAGATTCTCAGCTATAGGTGTTCCTGAATCAAACTATTATCTAGATCCATTCCAGACTTTCCCTCACTCAAAATATATAATGCTGTTCCATTTCATTGCTCCTGCAATGCTTTATTTGTATATTTATTTATACGTTTATATACCATCCCATTCCCATAGGCTCTGGGCAGTTCACAAGAGATTAAAGCCAATAATGAATAAAATTTGACCAAAAGCAAGCATATTAAATAAAACTAATCTGGGAAGAAGGCCTGTTGGAAGAGCTATGCCTTTATTTCCCTTGTGATGGTATCAATCTGGGATATTTGATACATCTCCCCTGGCAGACCCTTCTGCAGATTAGAAGCAACCACTGAGAAAGCTACTTTTACAGAGGCAAACTTCAGAAGATTTTCCCCAGAGGACCTTGGTGGGTGATGCAGGATATAGGCAAAGGCACTCCAATGCATGAAGACCTTTAAAGGCAATTAGCAACATCGCATACTGTAACTTGAAATAAATCGGCAGCCAATGAAAAGACATTAATATTGGTTATATATGGTCTCTCCATAATGGTTTCTCCAAATACCAACCTGACTGCCTTATTTTGGGCTAGTTGCATTTCCAAAATAGGTACGAGGGTAGCCCTACATAAAGTACATTGTAGAATGCAGTTGGCAAATCAGCCAAAGCTGTTAGCAGACATTCTTGATTGTAACTTCTACTTGTGCTGACACTGAAGGACCAGGTCAAGCAGCATCTCAAAACTGCAAACAATCTAGAACTGGTTGACACACCTGTAATCCTGGATTCAGACTCTTAACAGCAAGCACCTCTGTTTTGTCTGGAATCAACTTTGATTTGCTTTTTCTTATCCTGCAAATTACCAACTTAATATAATTTTAATTGCCTTGATTTCAGATTGCATATTAAATATAATTGTAATTCTGATTTTAATAGTCACATGGAAAATACTTAGGGATTTTAAAATATTTAGCAATAAAGATATACAAACAAATAATAGTTTTCTGAAAATTTTAAAGAACTCATTTCAGATTTTGTTCAAAGTGTGTTAGATGGTTCTTTCTTCTTGCTTACAACTCATAATAGTAATTAGGTTTGCTGGTTAATTTTCCTGGGATCCTTGAGCACACACCTATATGGAGAAACTAGAAGTCAGGTGATAGTTCCAGACTCAGAGCCCTTATGCAGTCCAGTAGATGTGACAGGCTTAATGCTTAAAAGACTAATGCCTTATTTTATTTTCATTTTTTTACTGTAAGGTACCGTCTGGAAAACACCCCTTCTATTTTATAGTATAGAAGCATTGAAAATGACTGATAAGTGATTTTGTGAAACAGTCAGTATATTCATACATTATGGAATTCATTGTGTCACCCTAACTTGTTCATCTTTTTTTTAAAGTCTCAAGTCAAACTAGAAGTTGAGAAACAAATGGCTTTCCAAAATTAGTCAATAACTACCAGGGAATTCTAGCACAAAATACTTGGAAGGGGGGAACACAAGTTTCCTAAGTGGTAGAGAATCCTGCAGTGGGTAAAATCAAAGGTTAGCTTTCAAACCCTGGAAGTTTTGACTTGCAGCCACCAAATTGGTATGCTAGCCATGGAGGGTGTAAAAACCTGGAGGATGTAAATAGATTTCCAGCTGCTGCAGTTTTTTTCCCCTCCTGCCTCTGTTCCAGGTTTGGTTGTTTCATGATGGAATCCAAGATGCTCTGTTTTCTTCTTCTAATATTGGGTTAGAAGCATTGGGATTAGTACCCCCTTTCAAAGACAAAACCACATACAAATGGTTTATAGGCACTGAGCTTTGCGCAAGAATTCTGTGCATTTCAGCTGTCAAAGAGATTGCTGCTGTTGAGTTTGGCATTTCAGAACGTACAGAAGTTTAAGAAACACTACCATACAATATTATAGCATTTTCTACTTGTGGGGACTGAGGTTGCAACAGAGTAGCTGCCTCAGGCAAACTGGGACCCACAAATGACACTGGAAAAGCAAAAAGGTTTCCCCACCTTTATTATGCGTTCAGGAGCAAATAATATGCAAATATTCAATACTGCATGATTGGCCCAAGGATGTATAATAACTAATTAGGCTTTTACTTGTGCCAGAGCTCGGCCCCAGAATATATTTTGAATAAAAATACAGGTTCTTAGAATATACAGTGGTATGGCATTTCTTCCCCAGTAAGGAACCATAACCTACACAGAAAATGCTTGCTCGCTTGCATGCTCTCTCTCTCTCTTTCTCTGTGTGTGTGTTTCTATTCAAATATTTGCTTCCTTATA